ACTAAGTTTTCAAAATATCAAAATAATCTTTTAGCATTTTTCAATTAGCAACATTGGTTTTTGGTTCTTCATACTTGAAATTTTGGTTTTAAATTTCAAGTATGAAATTGTAAATAACAGTTTCTTTGGACAGTTACACATAAATAAATATTACATTTAGAGCATTTAGTTCTACTTTTTTTATCACAGTCCTTTTGTCGACATCTGCTTTGCTTATCTGTCATTATCGGTAGATGTTCAGCCTTTTGTGTACGACGAATTATAGATGGCACAGGTTGAATCAGAATACGACGTTTTTTATGTTTAGGGGCCAAGTCAGCCTCGAAATCAGACTCATTCTCCTCAGAATCCGAGCTTACAGTGTTGTGTTCTATGATTTGCTCCCCTAGCATCAGCTTAAAACTTCTCATCTGTAATATATTTTTACTAGGCGTGCCTTTTTTGTTTGCTTCTTGGCGATAAAGAAGCCAAGCATTGGTAACAGCTATATCAAAACAATGAAAAATGAACCTGATCGTCCATTTTTTGGTTCTTGCTCTGGAAGGGCAAACAGCGAGCATACGATCTACGAGATCAACGCCCCCCATATTAGTATTGTAATGTTTTACTACTTCTGGCCTACTAACCGATTCGTAAGCCTTCTTTGTCTTTGACCATCTTGAGCAAAAATCTGTATTTTCAGCCGCATAGCACGTCGACAACACATGCACTGGTTTATTGTCAAACCATTTTGTTATTGCTAACTTCCCGTCCGTAGAGTATGTTGTAAAACAGCATCCACGTCCTTTTTCTTTCATATCACGATCTTTCATGAGCAGCACATTTTGAGGGATACGGTTTTTCATTATGGTTCCTGCACACAGGAAACCACGATCAAAAAGTGTTTCTGCCAATTTGAGGGAGGTGAAATATCTATCGAAGTATAAGACGTGACCGAGTAAATGCTTCTCATAGTATCGGTAAAAGTCGTGTCTCCTTGGTACACAAACATGTCGCATATTATTCCGTTTGGATTAGCTAAAACCAGAACCTTTAAACCTAATGGGTGCGGTTTATTTGGCACATATTGCCGTATTGGACAGCTCCCTGAAAATGGTATTATCATTTCGTCAATACATATATGTTGTGCTCTTTCTTGTTTTAAGCACCCTAGTAATATTCTATCGAAAAGAGGCCTCACTTTCCATAATTTATCTGAGCTTCTTTCTGAAGAGGATATTTCATCATCAAATACAATTTTTAAAGATGTTCGTATCTTGAAAAATCTATCTCTAGTCATATTTTCAGCAACAATAGGAATTTTCCATTTTTTAGACCAGAACATACGTAGTTGAGGATAATTAAGGCAAGACATAACAAAAGTAATACCAAAAAATACTTTCAGTTCCTTAACAGTGAGACCCAGTGACCTCCCGTAATTTTTAATGTAAGTCCTGTTTGTTTGTACTGTGATATTTTGCAATAGCTGGTCATCGATATAATCGGCAAGAAAGTCTTCAGGACGCCAGTCATGTAGTTCCCGTGGTTTATAAGATGGCTGGTTAAGTTCAGGTATTATATGAGAAAAATTTGTGCTATTCCAGTCTTCTGGTGAGTAATAGTGACGAAAAGAAATACCTCGAGCACGTACCCTTGATCCACGGTAACGAGTTGGCGGTCTGCCTCGCGGCCTTTGGCTTACTGATATCACACGTCTTGATGGACCTCTCGAACGTCCCCTAGATATACCCCTTCTTAGAGAATGCCCTCTTGATCTCACACTCGCGAGGTCCTCTTATAAGTGTAGGAGTACATATTTCACGTGGAGGCATAGCTGGACTAGAAACCGCTGGCTCGTTTTCAAACTCTTGTTGGAAATGCCTTAAATCGTGGCTGCTTCCATTGTCACTTTCTGACTCAGACGACAATAGGCGGTGTTCTTGAATGAATATATCTTCCTCTACATCATCAGAAAGGCCATCTGAGTCATTGAAATTCAATTGCTGTTCAATTTCGCTTTCTTTCAAAGCTGTAAACAAAAATAAATATTGCAATAATTCACATAACCTCAAAATTAAAATTAAAAAATTACTAAAGTTAAGACCGAGTGTACTTATACGAGTACTTAAGAAAAAAACCAAGATTTATCCATACTTTTTTTGTTAAATCCAAAAAATAACAACTCCATTCTTTCAAATGCATCTAGAACTGTATAAAAAAAGTGAAATAAAAATATAATATATTTTTATAATTATATTATAATTATGATATAATATTGATTAAACAGGATTAACTTACCACGTGCCATTGTTGTTACCGGCAAGACGAAGTTTTTGAGACACAGCAATTGATAATGGTCGCCTGACAGTTGTTTGTCACTTTAATCATAATGACAGAGTCATAATTGAGACAAAGAAACGCGCCATATTTTGAAAATGCAAACGCGTTTCGTTCAACGAATTTTTATTTTCTATGTACTCATGTGAGGCCGCGGGGTCCTAAGAGGTTAAAATAAAGATCTAGATTATCACTGGAAAACTGTGTGATAAAAATGAAACCCCAAAAATTTTTTCTTCAACGCCAACGTAATCAACTAGTGGAACAAGCTATTTCATAGGTAACAAAAAAATGTGAGAATCCACATTCTCATTCAATGTCCACACATTTTGATTGAAGAAAGAAGAAGAATGAGTAGATTTCAAAAACGTTTACTAGGAGAAATGACCCGATATGCTGGACTAACATTGCCATGTCTCGACAGATTTTATGAGGAACCAGACCATCGCCTCAGAGCAATGGATGATATTCTCGTAACATTTAGTGCTGTTCAGCCTTATGACGTTGCAGACGTTAGCAGAGTGCTAACGTCACCAGATGAAGATCTTCGTGTTCGTTCAAAATCTGACAAAAATCTACGATGATTTTTCTGCAGGATATATAATTTTGGAGATTTTACGCCGCCAGCATTTCTTCCCAAGAAGCGGTTCAATGTAGGTATATCATTGGAGCTTTTCTCGTAAAATTGAGCTATTCTGAATCTGTTCCGAATCTAGCGCTGTGTCTAAGATTTTTTTTACTATTAAGTTTTATGTGAAGGAAGCTTTTCAAAACTCAAGTTCATATAATCTTACTTAAGGTCCACAATGAGCCAAGCGCGACTAACCAATCTTTCCATTTTATCTATGGAAAATGACAAGAAAGTAAATTTTAATAATATATTAGAATATTTTAGGAAAAAAGTCCCGAGTGAGCATGTATACCATTTTTTGTTTTATTTTGGGGGGTGTTTGATAGAAAACCGCCCTGGGTACCAACCCACTCTACGCCGCCACTGGTTACCGTAAGGCTTAATACTGTAGCGAAGCAATAATGTAATCAAAATATTAAACGAAGTTTGATTATAACACTATTCAGCACTTTCCATAATGAAAAAAAAATACGCATTTCGTTCTCCGTAATGCTGTATATACTATTAATATTCTTAAAATATTGTACCATGGACACTCTATTAGAAAGAAATGGAACACTTAACTCGGTGCCTTTCATTCATTTCAAGGTCATTGATTTAGGAACGTTTCTCTAGTATGAAGTGCGCACTCCCTATATTTTACAACCTCATCAACCTCCTTTGTATTCGTACTATAGCTAATATTGATTTTGAGCTCTTGATTTTTTTTATTAATTACGATTTTTGGCTTGGATGCTTGTCTTTTAAACTATGTCTTCATTTATCTCAGTATCAAGTGATAATAATCCTTTAACCGCGGCGCCCATCTAAGCTACATGATTTCGACATGGCTTGTAGCATGATTCTGACCATACTCTGACGTGACCACGGGTGACACTGCTTGCGCCAACCTGTGCAACAATAGCATATCGCAGAATTCAGTTTGAGCCAAAATGTCGTCTGAAGAAGATAAACATGCCCTTGCTATGCTACAGATTTCAAACATTCCAAGTGCCAGCAAAAGATTTCGGGTACATGCTTTGAGGAAAAAAATTGAAAAGTGGTGGTACTTTCAATGCTATGAAGTAATTAGAATTATATTTTGCATAGGCAAGTCACTATAAGTTGCAAGAAGTATCTTGCGAATTCCTGTTAATGTAATCGGGTCTAGAACAATCATATTGTATACATGGCCTTTCATGAAAAGAAAAAAAGCTAGGTCGTCTTTCATTTTGTATAGACAAGTCACTGCAAGTTAGTGTTACGCGCCACTTCAATGCGTCACTAGTAGCAAGCTGAATGGCACGTCAGGTCATGCAGCATCACGCCACGCTAATGGGCGCTACTACATACAATCTCTTTGAATGTTGAGGCGAGTGACAAGTTACGCGTCAAATCACGCGTCAGATCACGCGTTACGTTACTTAGGTGGGCACCGCGCTTTATAGTACACTGCTTCACAATATGTTGATGCAACACATTGCATGGCCTTTGGGAGATTTTGACAGCAACATGAGCCAGAAGACAGTTGGCGACAGTACTTCAAGGCGCCTAAGCAGACAGACACCTTATCTTGAGATTCACATCACCATCGGAGCACTTGTTTCACCGTTTCCACTAGTAGTTCACATACGCAGACATTTAATACACAAAATCGCACCACCTTTACATTTCATAATCCACTTCAAACCATTATTTAAACATTAATACAGGAGCAGCAATCCACCGCCAGTCAAGTTCCCACCAAAACTCCCCATTTTTTACTTGTCTTGCTCGGTCAACAGATGATAATAATAAATAAGGTACACTAATTTGACTCATCAATAGTGATTGCCAATTGAATTGTACTTATTCATACCATTTTCATGTAAAGGAAAACAAAACTAAGGGAAATAAAATAAAGGTACATACAGAAATGAGTAATTAATTTAATTTTAAGAATTTACATAGGCACTATCTACATACATGTTATTAAAAGGTATGATCATATAAACACAAAGATAGTTTTTCTTATATTGACACCAAATTGGGAAAAAAATTAAAGGAACAATTGTTTTTATAGCAATAATAACGATTATCCAAATATACCATGGAAAGTAGTGCCTTTGAATCCAACATTGCCCGTTGGCTCGTCTTGGAATGTGATATACATCCTGCAAAAAAGAAAAAGATTGAAATGAGCAACGCCTTAATATTTTTTTCGGAAACAATTGGAGGCGTGTTAACGGAGAAAACTTTATACAATCAATACCGCAGACCATTACAATGGCGGAGTCTTTCATCAGCAGTCCACCACTGCCCTAAACTATCTTGTGGGTTGCCTGCATAAACCATAAACCAAGGTACCTTGAATGGAATTGTATGCCTACAATGACTACTAACTAAAATAATATAAGAGAAAGCGGTATGTCAGAATCGGTCTCTTGGCGATCGATCCTTTCCGCCTACCTTGCAAATAAAACGTAGTAATAAATAAAAGTAGTAATGCATAAATCGTATCCTTCAAAAAATGTTTATTTATTATAGCTGTAAACACAATCGAGCGTGTACGCACCGTACCGCGACACACACACAGGGACACACAGACACACAGGAAACACACCAGAATCGAAACAAGTACACAAACAAGTACACAAGTACACAAACGAAACAACTTGCGACTAAATTACTCATGGATCGACAAAATAGGGGTGATAATAGCTACGGAATTGTGTCGTTTATAAAACCACAATCTCTTTGTGCTGAATCGTTGGACTACTCTAATTACTTAATTAAGAACTTGAAGTATGATGACAAGATTGTGATTGCAACGGGCGCCAATGATTCTAATCCAATCAAACTTTTAAACGATTTAAGTTTGGTGCTTCATAGATTAAGTAAATGTAGTAGAGTATATATTTTAGAAGTTGTAAGCAATCCTTATTTGAATATAAAAACTTTAAATGATAAAATAGCTTCTTTAGTTCGATTGTATAATAATAGTACTTTTTTGACATCAAATGGTAAATTTTATAAGGTAAAAGAATATTTATAGCATATGGGTAGAAAAATTAATTTTAATATTGACTGTTTTGACTACGATACATCGTATCTATCATTAAGTAAATTAAGAGATAGACTAACACAAAATAAAAATGTTAATTCGCAGAAAATTAAAACTCACCCACCTAAAGGTATTCAACCTCTAAGGGGCACTATTCCTTACTATTTTAACTTAATGAGTAAAAAGAATGTTAATAATAATAATGAAAATTCCAATATCATCACTGATAACTCGGAAGATTGTAAACCAAATAAAGGGGTTGTACACGCCCCCAGTTGCCCCAACCAAGGCTGACGGGATTAGGGCCCATGAGTAATCCCATCGACGAGCAGCAGAGGGACGGGGCCAGAATATGGCCACGTGGAATCTCTCTAATTACACTAAAATATATGGGGGAGCGTTCTATAATACGGACAGTCGACCGGGAGGAATTTGGACGTAGCTTACTTACCTATATCCAAGGCGACTGGTCCCTCCGGAGTCGGTCAGGTCGCATGTGGTTGTGTAGTGCAAGGAAAATAAAGTGATGTGATGTGTATCTGGGTGTGACTTATGGTGATTGAACCTAGACCTTGGCCGTCGGCAGCAGCCCGAGCGTCGACACCGCTCCAACTTGAGGGGGCCTTCCGAGGTTGTCCACAGTCACTTTTCTCTTTCGTCACGATGACAGTCAATTAACTCTATCGTACGATTAACTAACTTACAGAAGCCACTAACTATCGCTGGGTATAAGGTTAACGCACAAAACGCACACGGAGTTTCTGGATCAAAGGTCACTACCGTTTCGCGTTGCAACAGTTAGTTCTAGAATATCAGAGGCCGCACTAGCTAATATTGTCGAATGAGTTTATACAGATTCTGAGTCGGACCCAATAAGTCCCGGGAAGCTCTCCAGCAGGAATGCGCGTCACAAAATCCTAGACCGTATATTTACGGGCCGCACCTAATTATTCAGAGTTCCCTAACAAAAATGACAGCGTGCCAATCGTTAGCACTGCCTAAAGACGACTGACTGCCCTTGGGCGTTTTACGCACGACCGAATGTCAAACCGGTATGACACTGAGCCGCGCGTCCTCTCGCGTTCGTTCTTGAAATTAGCGTTTAGCGCAAACAGGGGTAATACCTTATTATTTTCGTCCTATAAAATCTTATAAACAGGTATCGCATGATTCCTTTCGTTCTTAACGCAAAGACTACAAATATGAAAATTACAATCTTACACCAAAATATAGCTGACATTTTCTATAAAAAAGGATATTTTAGAATTAACATTAAAATATTTGGAAGAACAGGAACATACACGAATAGATGTATTGTGTCTAACTGAAACTTTTGTTAAAGCAAGTGATTATAATAATTATAACGTTTTTGGTTTTAAATTAGCTAGTTTCTATGGTCGTACAAAAAGTAAAGGTGGCGTATCTATTTTGATAAAAGAAGATATAGAATGGAATGAAATAAAATGTGTTACGGAATTAACAGAATCCGAGCAATTTGAATGTTGTGGAATAGAAATTCTTTTACATAACATTTACGTTATATGCATCTATAGGACACCTGGTTCGAATGTAAATATATTCTTCTTTAAATTACAAAATTTATTGTCAAAATTAATAAATAATCATAATAAAAAAATCGTTATAGCTGGAGACTTTAACATTAATACTTTAGAAAATAGTAAAAGTTCAATTGAATTAAATGACATTATTCTGAATTACAATTTATATAGACATATTAATGAACCAACTCGTGGAAAGAATTGTATTGATCATATGATTAGCAATATAATGAATGCAACAGCATGCGTTAAAAAATTATATTTATCTGATCATGAATCGGCGCAAATACTATCTATTGATGTGCATAAACAAAGAAAAAAGTTAATGGACATTTGGGAGTACAAAAGGAATTACAATTTATATTACATTAACATGTTTCGCGAATATTTAAAAGAAATTACTTTTATGGAAGTTTTTGAGAATAAGGATATTAATGTTGCATATAGTAAATTCAAGGAACTTTTTATTTTATTATATAATCTATGCTTTCCGATGATTAAGAAAAAAAAATTAAACACGAATTATAAAAATAACTGGATGACAAAAGGTTTAAGACTAAGTTGCTTAATGAAAAGGAAACTCAAAGTTAATTATTATAAAAAAAAGACTGCAGAGAACAAAGAAAAATATAAAAGGTACACTAAATTACTAAAAAAGTGTATTGACGTGTCCAAAAGAATAAATTATTTTAAACAAATAAATACCACTAAAAATATGGGAAAATGTTCATGGAATATAATAAAATCGGAAGCAGGGTCAAAATCGATCAATTATTATGTGAACATGATAAATAAAATTGATGAATGTCTAAGATCTCCACAAAAAATTGCTAATGCTTTTAATGAGTATTATGAAATCCAGACAAAGACAGTTAATTTTAACCAAACGGGAACAACACGCCTCTATAACATTATAAGCCCGTGCAAAAGCATGTTTTTACGTCCGATTACTTTGCAGGAGACAAAGACATTAATAGGCAACTTAAAAATTCTAAAAGTGAAGGCTATGATGGTATAAATACGAAAGTTATCAAATACTGCAAGGATGAAATATCGCCTATACTTACATACTTGATAAATTTATCATTCGAAATTGGTGTTTTCCCAAAGTTATTGAAACTATCTTTGGTCAAGCCCTTATTCAAGCAAGGTGATAAAAAAGATATGAACAATTACCGTCCAATAACAATTTTGTCCGTTTTCTCCAAAGTATTTGAAAAAGCTATGCATAGTAGGCTTACTCATTATTTTAATGAAAATAAATTTATAAAAAAAGAGCAATATGGCTTTCAGCAAAATAAATCAACCATGATGGCATGTTTTGATCTATTAAAAAGAATTACAGTAGCAATAGATGATAAGATAAATGTAACAAGTATATTTTTTAATATGTCAAAAGCATTTGACTTTGTTTGCCATGACACCTTACTATGTAAGTTAGAAAAGTATGGAATAAGAGGACTAACATTACAATGGATCAAATCGTATTTATCATCAAGAAAGCAGTGTGTGGAAATTGTAAGCCCTAACAAAAATAATGTTATGACAAAATTTAGATCGCAAATAGTTCCTAAAAACTCTGGCGTTCCTCAAGGAAGTGTTCTCGGGCCTTTCTTGTTTATAATTTATATAAATGATTTACCGGATTCAACTCCGTTCCCATGCATTTTATTTGCGGATGACATACCATTGATTATAAAGAATAGCCATAGAAATAAACATTATTATGAAAATGACATAAAATGCGCAATTAATGATTTTATTTTATGGTTACATGACAATAACTTAAAGGTTAATATTGCTAAAACCTGTTATATACAATTCTATAGTAATATTAAAAACAAACTTGATCTTGACATAATGTATAATAATGATATACTAAAAGAAAACGAACAGATGAAATTTCTGGGATTAAAAGTTGACAGTAATTGTAATTGGATGGGTCATATTGACGAAGTCTGTAAAAAAATTAATAGATTTGTATACGTCCTAAACAGGTTAAGGAGAACATCGTCACGAGAAACTGCACTCTGAGCTAAATGGTACGAATCATGTAAGCCCTTATTTAGGGAGCTTAACCTCCTAACTTTACCAGGAATGTATATATTTGAAGCAGGTGTTCATGTAAAAAGGAATTTACATATGTACAAAAAAGCGTCCGATGTATATTTGCGTAACACTAGAAAATCAGATAAACTAGTATTAGACCGAATACCGAAAACTGCATTCTATCAAAAGGGTTGTTACGCGATGAGTATAAAGATATTTAATAAACTACCGGTAAATGTTAAAGAAGAGATGGAAATCGGTAAATTTAAAACCAAACTCAAAAGCTGGTTGTTATTAAAGTGTGTTTATGATATAAAAGACTTCTTGAATGAATAGAATATGGTTGCCTAAACTTGACATAGCCATGCTTTAAACATTTATATTTATTTGATGTTCTTTAGATTAAATACTCCTTTGACATTTTAATTATTTTTCTATATATACTTAATTGATTTGCCTAGTTATAAAATAATAGTGATTGACATGACAATTGTAATTTTAATTAATTTTATTTTATTGCTTTATAAGTACATAAATTTATTGACTTGCTTACTTATGAAAAGAATGATTTAATATATTATGTTAAATAATTTTTGCATGCCAAATGTGGTAAACATGTGAACTATGTACAATTATTTGTCATCTTTAATGTACCATGTTTAGCGAATAAATGATATTATTATTATTATTAAGTATTAAAAATAATAGCAAGATGAGGTGCAATTAAATCTATTATGGACGCAATAACTGTAATGGATATCCCCCACAAATCTGTGGTTTTCTTTACATCAATGGTTTTGAAGTATTTTACAATATCTTGCGGTAATACTTTTTCAAATTTATTTTTTTTTAAACAGGTATTAACATTCTGTTTGAGTAATGACTCTGCGACATTTGGAGAAGTATTTAATGACTCTGTTGTCAAGATAGGAATATCAGTGAAATATTTCTCAAACACCGCTGCGACTTCTTGATTTGATTTAGTCAATTCATTGTTAAATTTTAATTGATAAACATTCCTGAATCGAATAAATGTTGTTCCATACCCACAATATTTTTGACCAAACCAACGACATTCCACATGATGGAATAGACGAGTAAAAAAAATTACCTGTATGGGAGGTACCCAAAATAAAATGTTTTTCAAGATTTTATCCCACAACTTTGTAGGCGTAATCAATATCTATAACTATGTCAAATTACATCTTTGTAGTACCTAGGGTCTCTGAGTAAAACAGCGGACAGATGTCCATGGCACAACTATAAGGCGCCGTCCAACAAAAATGATCGTTCGACCGTGTGTTCAAACTTACTCATATCTGCGGAATGTTCTAATGAAGGTCGTGCGATCATGCGATGAAACTGAATTGTCTCATTTTCGTCGTGCGATTATCGAAGCATCGTATAGATCGGACGATCGTCCGATCAATCATACTAATCACTACTGAATGTCCTAATGGCGCTCGCGCGACCAAGGGGCGGGGGCAAGGGAGGGGTACCATGACGTACGCTCGGCTCGACAGCCAGCAAGTTTCCGTAAATTTCGGTTCTGTTGCATGGATTCAACAACAGAGTAAGATGATATTTAAAGAAAACTTAATTTAAAAAAATCTTCTTCATTTTGCCGTATATCGTAATACTGATTGCGGAATTCACCACATTGATTTCTGTTTTTATACTGTATATTATGTGGTGTAGGTTTTCTTTTTTTAATTATACACTATTAAAGAAATATAACTCGACAGCAAAAACTGTGCATCTCTGTTAAGAGCCTTTTCGAGAGTGATCGCATTGCTCCAAAATAAAACACACAATTTCTAATTGTACGAGCGGAATCATTGGACAATGAAATCGCATCGCATCATCGCGTGAGCGATGGCAATAGGTCGGCACCTTAGAGTTCCTTGTTTGACAATGGAACACTAAAAAGTAGATTTTTCAAACAGTATTCATTTTAAAGTGCTAACTTTGGGTAGTTAATTTAAAATTGAGCCTATACTAACTTACCTTTCTTATTGTATTTTACAAAATGAAATAAGTAACCAATTTTAAATAAACATGGCATAGCCATGCTGCAGCTACATAAATTGTATAGTTGTAGCACAAATAGGTCGGCTCAACCAGGGTAGGACCACGCTCTCACAGAATACCACTGTAAGATAGCAGCTTAATGCTGCTGTTAGTTGTAGTGGAGAAAACCGGAGACCATTTTTACTGGAAAAGAGGCATTCCATTTTAGTCATCACGGCTGACAACACATCTGCATTTTGATTCACAAACAAGGATAGATGTAGATATTCATGGGTCACAGCAACCACTTACCATCAGGGGGACTGTGTGCTCGCTTGTCACCCTTTTCCTTTGAAAAATGATTATGTATGTTCTCATAAGGTTCACCAATGCTTATTTCTACCATATAATATCATGTAATAGGTTGTTGTATATATTTGTGTGTTTCCCTCACTCTCACAAATCTTACCCTACAATATAAAAAGGTAAACAATGTAAGCTTACCTATCTTGAGGCACTCCTAACTCCTTATCAACGAGCTCAAATAGAACTTTAGCATGCTTCTTGTTTTGTTCTACACCAAGGGCTCCAATAGACATAAGGTTTGCAATAGCGCAAGGATCTGTACTGCCACCAAAACTCATTGGCACATCAGGAATAACAGACACCACGCAATACTAAAAAATATAGTATACTGTTTCATCTTCAGCTCAACATATTAACATGATTAAAATCAATGTATAAAAAGACAGTTTTAGTTCATATTTAAGACTTCATAATTAATTTTATAATAATAAACATACTTATAATTATTCATAACTACTGAATCAACATACGAGTGCAAAGTGAAGAGTATTATCAACATGGTTTTTCGTACCTGTTCAGGTTTACCAAGAGCTTTTGCCAGAACGGGTGCAGCTTTTATTAAGAAATCTTCTGGTATTTTACTTCTGGGAACATTTGTTTCAATTCGAAAATGCGGCATAATTAGATAATAAATATTCTATTACTATTGCACAACCACAGACTAACTAGTAGATTCTAAGTTCTAACTGGTTCTAACCTACATATTTATTTATCTATGGTTCTAACCGAATTGTAAACAACAAAAACCAAGTACAAGTGAAAAAAAACCAAGTACAAACACCATCAGTGTTGCCAGAGATTTTGAATGAACGATCGCACGATGGGTCGATGGGTAAATAAAAAGTAGTATTCCCTAAGAAGGTAATTAAATAAAAATAGTACGTTTTATAAAATTATACAAAAATTGAGAAGTAAAAACACAACATTATTAGTCTTTATCTCCATATGAAATCTTACTGTTCATATTATTTAACATTTCTCTTGATGTAGAAAAATCAACAAAAACAACCAAAGCGTTTTATAAGTTGTTGTATTGAGCCTAATTCGGATTTTCATTTTGATGATATTTACTGAACTGAAGCACCATTCACAATCCGCATTAGAGTGAGGAAGGCATAGCAAATCGGGAGCGAATTTTGCTATATTCTGAAAGTCATCTAACGCACATATTTCTGCTCAAAATTCGTCTGTCGGGACTGAGAGAGTCATATCAACTTAATAAAGAGCAGGGGTAATATTCTCCACTCGTCGTCCACATTTTGCATTATTTCTTCACTTACAATCCGAGGCACAATTTTCATTAGAGGGAACAAAGTATTTACTTTGTTTCTGTATGATTCTGATAAAGCATTGGTAGAAAATGTAAAAAGTCGTATGAATTGCGTACGAATTTTATGTTTCGATCGTACATGCGTATAACTCTTAAAAATCGTATGAATACGATTTAAATCGTACATCTGGCAACATTGAGTATCACCACAACCAGCTTTTCGTTTTTTTTTGGCGGGAACTTCAAACGAGCCGGTCGATTTAATTTTTATATTAATCGTTAAAATATCCTGTTCGGTGTAAATAATTGTACATTTTATTAATTGTTAAAATGAATGAACCGGAGGACCCAGGTGAAACCCCGAAACGATCCAAAATTATTCGTAAAAGAGGTACGAAGGAAAGTGGACCTGAAGTAGGCGGCGGTGAGGATGACTTTATTCCGTTTTTTAAGCCAGATTATCTGAGACTTTATCCTGAACATTGTACAAATACGGACTTCAAAGTTTTTGTTGAAAGCCAGGACAAACAGGTTAAACTTGAAAATAAAAGCCCAGTTTACTTAAATCATATTTTTACTTCGGAGGTGAAAGGTGTGGTAGCTTTACATAGAGTCAATGCCAACAAAATTGCGGTTGTTTTTAAACAATACAACACTGCAAATAATTTCATCACAAATACAGACTTTTTAACAAAGCACAACTTGAAGGCGCATATTCCTGCAGCGCAGATAGAAAAAACTGGAATCATCCGATATGTGCCTACCAACATTTCGAACAAGGAATTATATACGAAACTGTCTTCGATTTACGAAATTATTTCAGTGAGAAGATTCACGAAAAAAGTCGGTCAAAGTACTGTAGGTCTCGAGACGGTCAGTATAACTTTCCTATCAAATGTTCTGCCCGACAACATCCAATATGACCTATTTTCGTTCAGGGTGTTTGAATATGTCCCACCGTTACAACAATGCTTCCGGTGCTTCAAGTTCAACCACCCTGCGAAAATTTGTAATGGTAAACAACGTTGCTCGATATGTGCTGGGGAACATAATTTCAGAGACTGTGATAAAAAAGAAAACCTGTGTTGTGTCAATTGCAGTGGTCCCCACCTGGCCATTTCCAAATCTTGCCCAATAAAAATGAAAAAAATACTTGAAAAAAAGGGTAAAATTACTTATGCCTCTGTAGCTAATACAATTAAGTCATCTGATTTTCCGTCTTTACCTGCACAGTCGAGCAGCATTGTTAAGACCCTACCATCAATAAACCAAAATGTACATAAATTAAATAAAAATGTAAAAATTGTAAATAATGTAAATAAAACAGTGCCTGAACCCAACTTGAACCAAACTCAACTTAAGGCTCAAATTGCAAACAATAAGAATATTTTGATGGCAATGGTCCAAACTTTAGTCGAATTAGGTAATAAAACAGATAATGAACCTGTGACTACACTGTTCATTAAAGACTTACTTTTAAAAAATCTGTCACAATAATGGACAGTACAGTACAGAACATACAGCAGTTATGTATAGCTCAGTACAATATTCAAAGTATACATAGGAAAAAATCCTTATTGTCTAAATTTTTAGATGAACAAAATGTTGATATCTGTCTACTCAATGAAACTTGGCTGAAAGATACTCAGCATTTTAACATTTCGGGATATAATTTCCACTATCATAATGCCCAAAATGAGCATGGTGGAGTAGCAATTTTGATCAAACCGTATTTTAAATATAATATTATTCAAACCAGATTTTACCAAGACATTCAGACTGTGGCATTATTGTTATATGTAAGTGGTAAACAATTAACGATTTTATGTGTATACTGCCCTCCATCGAATGGTAACTTCAGAATAAGTAAACTGCGTGATATAATTAGAGATTTGCCTAAGCCAATATATGTGGCTGGAGATTTCAACGCTCACCATGTGGCATTTGGGTGTATGACCACGAAAAGTCGGGGTCATCAGTTATACGATTTAATTGATGAATTCGATCTATGTGTCCTCAACAATGGTAGCTTCACTACTATTAATTATCCTAACCGAAATCCATCGGCTATTGATGTCAGCTTTTGTAGTGCTTCAATCACTCCACTATGCGAATGGTGGGTGCATGATGATTGTATGGGGAGCTATCATTTTCCTACGCTTACTCGTGTTTTATTGTCAGTTGATAGATACCAAATTAATCCTCCCATTGAAAAATTCTTATACAACAAGACAGACTGGACAAAATACAATGAGCTGTCTATAACTGCTTTTTCTAATTTTGAAGTTAATAATGAGAATCCATTACAGTCATATGATGAATTTATTGAAAGGCTTGATACACTTAGGAGAGATACTGTGCCAAAGTTTGTCAAAGCAAACAACTATCGTTGCAAACCTCCAGCACCTTGGTGGAGGGACACATGTGAACAGAGTGTTATTAAAACTTATGAAGCTTTAAAACTGTACAGAAGAGATCCAACCATTGATAATTACATTAATTACAAAAGACTTAATGCTGTTAAGAAAAAGACTATTTCAGAACATAAACGCAATGGTTGGGCTAACATCTGTAATACTTTTAACAGAACTACACCTGTTAGTATTATTTGGAAATACATCAAGTTATTTAAACGAATAAAATGCAATAATAGAACATATAAAGACGAATTTGTAGTCCCTCTTTTAGACAAATTGTCTCGAAATGGATGTAGGGTTATTGATAATCTAGAAAGTTATTTTCAAATTAATAATAGTCTTCAGAAGTCCAGTTTCCTCATAGAACCCTTTACTTGGAGTGAGTTTTGTACAAGTTTACAATCCAGACGAAACACAACCCCTGGTTTAGATAATTGTCCATACATTTTGATCAAAAACCTAAATCAGTCCGTACAAAAGAAACTATTAGCTAATCTTAATGCTCTTTGGCACTTAAAAAAAATTCCTGAATCTTGGAAAACACAGTGTGTAATCCCTCTATTTAAGCTTGACAAGCCACCTGAAGATCCTAATTCATATCGTCCTATATCTTTGTCATCTTGTGTTGGAAAGCTTAATGAAAACATGATAAAGATGCGTCTTGAGTGTTATGTAGAGGCGAACAACATCATTCCACATGTTCAATATGGCTTCCGGAGAGGCAGAAGTTGTGCTGACAGCTTCATCTCTCTCTTGTCAGATCTGAAATATGCCAATAATAATAATAAGTCCAGTGTTTGTGTTTTTCTGGATATTGAAGGTGCGTTTGATAATGTAGATCCTGGCATTTTGGTTCAAGTTCTTTCTGACATTGGTATACCAGGCATACTTTGCCATTGGTTATTTAATTTTTTAATAGATAGAACTTTGTATATAAGGCATAATAATATTCTCCATGGTCCCAGAAGGGTCTCCAAAGGTACAATGCAGGGGGCTACATTATCTCCATTGTTGTACAACATATACACAGTCAAATTCTTAATTTTGTAAATATAGAAGGTGTAAATATTTTACAATTTGCGGATGATCTTGTAATATATTGTACAGACCAAAATGTAGATAGAGCTGTAAATAGTATAAATAATGCTTTAGAGCAATTGTACATATATTATAATGACAAGTTGGCTCTACAGATTAACCCTAACAAAAGCAAGGCCATGATTTTTAGTAAAGATTTTCCCTCTAATGGCATACTCTACAATAATCATCCAATTTCAGTTGTATCTAACCATAAATTCCTGGGTGTTGTCATTGATAACAAACTTTGTTTTAATTTACACATCAATCACATTATAACTAACTCTCTTAAGGGCTTAAATATTATAAGATGTTTAGCTGGTGTGACTTGGGGTGCAGACCCCAAAGTTTTAAGTATGCTATATAAATCTATAGTCAGAAGCCATTTCGACTACAGTTGTTTAGCCTACTCAAATAGTAGTTGTGTAAAAAAACTAGACATAATTCAAAATAAAGCTCTGCGAATTATTTCTGGGGCTATGTGTTCAACTCCCATACGTGCTATGGAAGTTGAAACCAAAATAATGCCACTGTGTCTTAGAAGACTTCTGCTAATAGAGAGATATTTACTAAAGCTGGTATCTGGTAATGATAATGTTCTCAAAAAAATAGTACCTTTTCCTTTACAATGCTCGGTCCAGCAGACTTCGGGAGGTGAGCTTTTACAAGGTTATTTTCCAGTTTTGCCTCTCATTGTACAGCAAATGAATGAAGATTTTAAAAATGTAATTAAACAATCAAAGTGGACATGCTACACATACCCATATTCCTGTATTATATTTGAGACCAATATTGTTACCAAAAACTTTTTTAATAATTGTGAATTATTAAGTTTTATTTGCCAGGTCGAGTCGT